TAGGAGACCTGGAGACTTTTCCTTCCATATATGTGAGGCTCAGCAGTGTGAGTTGTTGTCTAGGGCTGGCCCTGTCACAGAGGGCGAGCGCATAGAGACATGAATGCAGCAAAGCTGCAGGAGAGAGTGAAATCTTTGGTGTTAGACGACGCCCAAACGACAGCAGCCCGAAGAACTTTGACCCTTCTGAAGCAACCGGTGAATGAAGAAAATGTGAGACTAGTCGTGGCCTTGCGTCAGTTGCAAGCAGAATCCACAGGCAAGTCGCTCAGTGAGGTGCGTGTGACCGGAAAGTTGTTCTCTTGTTGGCAGTCCTCTGTTAGTGTGAGCGCCAAGACTTCGGAGAAGTACTGGTCAGTGCCGAAGAGCAATTTTCCGGACGCTGCAGAAGACCCCGCTTTGAAGGAGTGTTTTGAGACTGGCCGGGGCGTAAATTCGAACACATGTTGAAGGGCCCTAATGTATCGCGTCAATTGTTCCTATTAGAACAAAAGGTGTGCAGACAGCAGAAAACGTTTTTTTGGCTTATCTGACCCAACCTCGGATGTGTCAGGACTATTTGATCGACTTGACAGAGTGGGATGAAATGCCGCCATGCTTCAATCCGCAGACACATTGGTTGATTGATCAGTGTGTCCGCAGACAGAATCTTGGCCTGGGAGTGAGGGAAGTGGAGTTTGTTGTGAGCTACAACAAGAAGAGCCAGAAAGGCACACCTACTCCAGCCGACCCTCCAGCTCCAGCAATCTCCTTTGAACCGACTTCGCCAGCAGTTGTTGGAGTTGCTCCTGCAGCCTCCTCCTCCTCCTCAGCTCCAGAAGTGAAGCCTGCGCTTCCACCGCCGCGCTTGCTAGCACGGTCTTTCAGCTCTGAGGAGGATGAAGTGGAGCTCATCGCTGCAAAGTGCAAGACGTGTTTCAGCGAGTCTTTGCTGTGGAGTGAGGACACACGCATTGTTGCGTTCTCGTGTGCGTAAGGAGTGTTTGGATGGTGTATTTTTCTCTAGGTTTGACTGATCTTCTGCAGGACCGGAATGCTCCGACGGCAGAGTATTGGCTGCGGGCATTTTGTGGCCATGCCAAGCGTGCCGCCGCCAAGGGTCAGGACCTCCCTCCAGATATGGCGATTTTCCCCAAGTTTGTGGCCACCAAGTTTTTGGAGCAGGGCGCTTGTGAGGACACGGGTTATCCACCCTAAGGAAGTTTTGATCGTTTCATGTCTTCCTTGTTCCGTCGTATGTTTGTTCAACTCAGCTCTGAGTTCATGAGCTGATTGTTTTCGGTGCCTCGCTCCTCGCAGGTGTTGCCACATTTCACCCAGTTGCTCAAAGATTTGAAAGAGAAGGTCCCTTCAATCTTCCCCAAGCCCGGATTGGTGGATGCACTCATTGCCATTGCGGACTACGATTGCAGCGGCTCTTCTTTTTGTGAAGTGGACCTGTCATCTTTGAGCTTGTCTGCGCGTGCTGCTCTGGTTGGTAGTAGCGAGCTATACAAGTCTTGGATGAAGAAAAGCTTGGAAGAGCGAATTTCCAAGTTGCAGCAAGCGCAGAAGACACCGCAAGAACTCCGGCCTCTCCTTGAGCCTCTTGCCAAGCTGTCTGATGACTCTCGGGTTACCTTCGCATTGACTTGGTGTGGGCCCGCATCGTACGATCAGAGGCTGGCCTATTTGCTTTCGGACGTCGGCAGGTTTGATTTGCTTAAATTTTGGTACCCAACTGCACCAGAGCTTTGCCTGTCTACTTTCGTCTCCGAAGAGCCGAAATTCGGTCACTTCACAGAGAAGCAGTACCTTGCTGGCTTGGAGAGTCTCTCCAAGTGTTCCACAGCTTCTTCTTTCATCAAATTGCAGGTGGTGAAGAGTGCCTTGGATGATTGGGCCTGTTTCTTCTTCCCCATGCATGCGAGCGTCCGACAAAACCTAGCGAATCTTGGGGTAACCGATGGGGGCCGACCCATCCTAGGCCATGTCCTTAGGCTAGTTCAGGGCCATTACTTTCCTGGCAGGTTTGCTTGCGGATTTTACACGTCTCCGTGTCCTTCCACAAGGAGGAGCTGTTCGTGCTTGGGCATGGGCTTTGTTTCTCGAGAATTCTAGCGCCAAGTTGGGAGTGGCATTGGATGATGACAACGATGAGAAGCTGAAGAGCTTCCCCCCCGAGACCTTGGATGATGAGGCGTTGTCCACCTTGCACAAGTGGTACGTGACCAAACTCGGTCAGAAAAAGGACCAAACTGGCCATGCGAAATTGCAGCCGTGCATGGATGGTTGGAAGAGCAGAGCTGACAAGGCGAAGGAAGAAGCTTTGGCTGCCGGTCGTGCCGCAGAGAAGGGTGGCCACAAAGAACCTCAGCAGGCAGCCCCACCTGCGGCTGTGACTGATTGGAAGGAAGGAGACGTTGCCATTGCTCTCCCTGGCAAAAGAAAGTCAGAGTTCGACAACCAAGAAGGTGTCGTGCTCAAAGTGCTGGCCAAAAAGCTCCGTCTGGAGTTCAAGCGCTTGGGGGAGACAAAGGATGTGGACAAAGACAGATGCCAAAAAGCGGCCAAGAGTGGACGTCAGAATGCCGATGAGAAAGCCGAAGAGAAGAAGGAAGAGAAGAAGGAAGAAAAACCTTCGCTGACGGAGCTCTTGGGCTCAGACGTGGTGGACGATTAGGAAGACAACAACTCGCGCCTGAAAAAGTAGCAGCTTCCTTTGACCGCTCAGTGTCCTTCGCTTTTTGGGTGACGAGGGTGGACTAACGACATGTTCACTATTTCCAATGAATAGTATTTATACATTAAACCACACTATTTGACACTATTTCACACTATTGCAATATTTCAGAGGTCGTTGAAGGCTTCCAACATTTAACACCTAATTCTTTGGTTTTCCTGCTGTTCTGTGCTTGTGTTGCTTTTCCTTGCTTCTTTTGTTTTCCTGTTTTTCTTTGCTTGTGTTGCTTTTATTGTTCTTCCCTTGCTGTTCATTGCTTCTTTGTGAATCCGCTTTCTATCCATGCTTTTGCTGTTTTTTGTGCCTTCTTTCTTGCTTGGTTGGTTTTTCCTTCTGTTTCTCCTGGTTGGCTTTTGTTTCCTTCTTCTCGGGTCTCTTTCGCAACCTTTCTATGATCAGTGAGGTTGGCAAAGCGCTGCCAAGGCAAAATTTAAAGAAGAAAAGGGACCATTCCAACATAGTACATCTTCTGTGGACGAGCTTTTGCAGGAACATGTTGAGGGACAGGAAGGGGAGGACAGTGAGTTTGATGCGTTGGAGGAGGTCAGAGATGCAGCAGACATTGCAGATGAGGCGGGTGATTGCATTGACCACCATGAACATGAAGAAACGCTTGACCCCCTCATGACATACAAGCAGCATTCTGTGTGTGTGAGAGAGTGGGGGGCACCTTGCAAATTTTGACCAACATGAGTAGGTGTCCTCACGGTTGGTGGATGACCATGGCTACGCTTGTGGCAGCTTGTGGCACGAAATCATCGACTTGGCAGCGTGCCTTTGGAAGATTTGTTCCCAGGCTTCGAGTGCATCAGTACTCGTTAGTTATAAGTCGCCACGTGCTCTCCAAACATGATTCCATCAAAAAATGGCAGTTGGTCAAACCCGGGATACTTTGGTTGGCCTAGTCAAGCTACATGGTGTGGGACTTCCAGGTTTGGAGAATGGTCTCGTCCTTGGGACGCTTAGGGTTCTTGAGCTTAAATCACTCCTAAAACCTCCTAAGGGCAAAAAACCGACAAAAGCACATCACCCTAGGCTCCAACATCAAGCTCCCCCAAAACACACCGGCCCACCGGCCCACCTGGCAGCGCCCGCCTTCGTCCCGCCCGAGGTGGGACGAAGCGCCGTGGCCCGACTTCCCCTTGGCACGAGATCTCTGCCGAGCGCCACAGCGGGAGGTGGTCAGACTCGTCCCGGGCCTCCTGGACTGGGTTTCCAAGAGCCCGAAAGTTCATGGCCTGCGTGTCACCTCGGGGTGGGATGTTCTGGGATGTTCCCTATATGACGAACTTAAAATGAGCCCCCTTCTCAACATGTTTTTTTCTTGTTTTTTTTTTTCATCCCTTCTCTTCCACCCACCTGTTTGAGTAGGCTTTTGTACCCATCACCCGGTCAGGTCAGGTTTGGATCTGTCGGTGAGACGTCACTTCTTCCAGTGGATCGGTGGGCGAAACGACGGAGGAGGTGGCGAGGAGGTGAAGACGGAGGCTGGATGGAGGCGGTTTTTTGGATTGGGAGCTTCATGTATAGACTGTATAGACTTCATGATTCTTGGAATGATCACCAACCCCTACATACCCAACCTCCTGAAAAGAGTCCAAGAAGAACCTGACATCAACAAAAATTGCAAAGGTTTAGTAGGAATTATTTTTGTAAAATTCCCTTCTCGGGAAAAATCAAACCAACCTCACCCACACAATTTGGAGGGCCTGATTGTTCAAGATCGGGCCACAACCTGAGAGTCCAGTCGATAAAAAACAAACATCCTTTACTTCAACCCTAGCCTATCCTGGCCTCGCCTTCCAAGACCAGTGGTTCCATTGAGCTGGCCGAACTCCTTGGTAATATCCCCTCGGTTGTTCAGGATTCCAAGGATTAAAGTATAATCCCTAGGGCCCCAACCATCTCCTCAAAAGGTGGTTAGACCCCCCTGGCACCCACCCCAACCACCGAACCTCAGGAGGTGGGCCAGGAGCCCTTGGGAATTAAACAACCATGGTGGGCCAGGAAGGCAGCCTTACGGTCATCCTTTCGACCGACCGACCCGGGCGTTTGTGTGTGAAAACCGCAGCAGATCCCTCCGGTCCTTCCAGTGGATCCCTCCGCTGGAAGATCGAAACTGAACGGGTTGACGGAGCTCCAGCTTCACGGGCTTCTGGTCATACCGAAACAGTTCAGGTGCGGGACCGGAGTAGTAGGGATGATTGAGACCACATCATGAATACATAACATGTGTCCGAAGGTGTGTCAAGCTTCAAAGTGCAACCTGCGAGCCAAGTGCATGCCATAGGTGGAGCCGAAAGAGAAAGTTCAATATGCCAAAAGAATGACGGACAGTTGACTTGATTGCTTTGCAGGCAGCACTGACTGAACGTGCAGCGGCGGACATGTGCATCTTTGTGATAATTTCAGGTCATGTCACCACCAGCACCCAGCAAGTTGGGCAACTCCAGGTGTTCCTTACTTTTTCCCCCGTCCAGAAATCCTCCCCACCCCGTTGGGCTTCTGCAGACGCCGACCGCGAGTTCGGGTGTGCAGCCTGGGGGGTCGAGTTCTTTTCTTCCACGAGGCGCTTGATGCCGCCGAGGTCAAAAGCTTCTAGCCTTTTCCCTCGAGGAGCGCATGAAGGATTGCGACGAGGCGCTTTCATACCAGCACCTTCATTCCGGGGTCACCTGGCTGGAAGCCCCAGCCCACTATGATCAGGGACACCCCTTGAAGGTCCAGGTAGGTTTTTGTTGGGCTTTACCACTCATACGCTCGCCCCCCCCGAGCGTTAGGATTTCGAGGTTGGTCAGAACAGGATTCGGCGGTGCCCATGGGTGGGTGCCGGTGACGGACGGTGATGGGTCCGATTTGTTCGGTCACTGGCTACCTCTCTTGCCCATATCACTCCATATCACTCCATGGGACTGCCATATATGCCGCCCCATTGACCCCCCCAAATCACCCCAACTGATCGGCAGTCCAGACTGGCAGTCCCAGACAGGTCGTGTCTGGGTCACGATTTTTTTTCCGTTGGCCCGGGGGATCCACCGGGGCCGTTTTGGGTGGGCGCTCGTTTCTGCAGCGCTCGTTGCGCGGAGCCCGGTATGTGAACACGGCCCCATGAGAAGGCCCATCATCGAGACCTATGAAGATGGGCCTACCAGCAGTCACAAAGGGGTGCTGAATGGAGGTTAGGGGTGCCCATTATCCACTCGCTTAGGGACTAAACACCACCCCTTTGTGACTGCTGGTATATTTGATCACCGAAATGACTTGCAATGTTTGGTTATGTTTATGGTTTTGAGGCGAGAATCAGCTCGAATAGTAGCACTTAGTAACCTTTTGGTTCAACAACTTGTCTTTGGCTGTGGGCACGAGGCAGAATTCAAGGTGCCATTGGCACTTAGCTCAATCAGACTAAGCTTCTACAAGATGGGCAAGTGGTCAGAGGGCACAGTTTGCACCAAAGGTTCAGCAAGTACCTTAAGCCTTAAGCACATGCGGCATGTGTACTTCAGGCACAAAATAAGTTTGAACTCAAGGGAAGTGAACTCCGGTGGGAGGTGCGTGCCAACTCCCAACCCAATTGCACAGCGAGTTGTGGCTTCTCCACGCAGGCTGAACAGAGGGGGCACCCTGGAAGTTCAGTCGACTATATTTATTACACTTTTATTACCTTGGTTTTGTGGATCGGGGTATGTTTTGCCTTCCCTATGGGTAAACCCCCTTTACCTTTGGGCATGTGCGCCGTGATGTCAACGCGATGGTCAGCCAGCATGATGGGGTCTTGTGTGGAAATCTAGAGAAGAAGCCCGGGTGTTGTAAAAGTATTTGTGGTGGACTTTCGCGGCCTCGCAGGCCTTGAATCATCCCTGGCTCAAAGAAGGATGAGGCAAAGGGGATGGGGAAGCTGCTAGGTGAGCTGCTTGGGAGTCAAGCGAGGGTGAAGCTGCCCTTGACCAACTTGGGGCCAGATGAATCTAAGCGGCCAGAAAGGATGCAAATTTCAGAGAGAGAGAGTATGATCACTTCATTATATATATTTCCGATGACTTCTGTATAGTTCTGTAGAATATACTCCTCCAAGATAATTGATTGCAATCTTGATTGCACAGCTGCCTTGAAAGGAACATTACATGTGTGGTTTGGGAAATGTGTTTCGTCTTCAAGGTAGAAGGCAAGACAGTCTTAACACACATCAATTCAGCAGCGAGCTATATTATAGTCGTTTTTGAACTGGTATTAGGTTGACATTTAAATGTCCAATTTATTTTGGTTACCTGATGATTATCGCCCAACATGTACTCGAAGTATCGCCAAAGTGTATCGGAAAGAGGTGATTCGAAGGCTTGCAGCCTTTTCTTTTTGTTTGTTTTTCCTGTTTCTGGAACACTTTTTAGATACGGTTGAGGCATTTTGGAGCAGTCTCCCTGGCTGTTTAAATTTTAAATTCTTGAGCTGCTTTAGCCTAAAAATCCTTAGTGAAACAACGGTTGCTTGTGATTTAGACCATTAAACTAATGGCTGCTGATGGAATCCCAGCGGAGGAAACGTCAGTGGTTTGAATGGATTGAAGGACCGAGTCGGGCAACCCCCACCCTTTAGATAATGTATAATCAACATGCATGTGCACATTATCTAATATATCATTTAGATCTGTGGGCAGCAAGACCTTTTCACATGTGCATTGTCCCCTGCACATAGGGCCGCGTCGGGCCACCTTGAGAGTTAAACATTTCGGAATCGTGATTTCATCCAAAGCGACACGCTATTCACATCGCAGCTACTCTCTATTGGATGAAATCTCCGTATGGCCCTGTTCTTTCAGCGACCATTGGCCAATCTCCATGACCCTTCTCAAAAACGACGGCGTCATCTTTTTAGTTAAAGGGTCCGAAATCATGTTTCCTCCTCCGACCCACCTCACCTGACCCGATGAATGTGCCAAGTCACTCTTGAGGATGGTCAGGTCGATGCCAGTGCGCTTGTCATCTATGTGGGCTGAGGTGTTGCGACACTTGGTCATCGTGTCGTAGAGGGACTTTGAGTCTGTGGCTGCAACAAAAGGAAAGCTGGCCAGCTGTGACTCCCATTTATCAATCTGAAGATTGACATCGAACAGCTCGGCAAGCAAGAAGCGATGCCAGTGGAGGTTGCCGATGCCCTGAAGCATCGATTGGCATTCTGCCGACAGGGTGTTCACTGTGCAGCGTTTGAGCTTATAGCTCTTCCAGCCAGCAATCGTGATGTCCTGCTTGTGGTCAGAGGTTTCTAGATCCTGGTGGTAGTAGAAAAGGAGGTATCCTCCTTGACTGTGTTTCTTAGCCAGTTGGAGGAATCGTTCAGACAGGGGTTGGTTCGTGACCTTCTTGTCCTTGGACTTGAAGAAGGTGGTGGTACCTGTCCATTGGGCACCTAGGTCTTTGAAACCATCTGTCCCATCCCACCTGTCATGCTCGATCTGGCTTCCAGCTTGTGTTCTCCGGTCTCTTGTGATCTGGTGCAGATCTGGGCCACTTGGATCAATCACTGAACCGGGATGGAAGGTTAAGCGACGTGGTGCGACATGGTGTCGGACCCAGGTTGTGGGTGTTTCCGTCCAGTAGTCCTTGGTGTTGTCACAGTCGGCATTGGGACCGGCATTGGCCCAAGAAGCATCGGTAGCTACTCCAATCCTGAGCTTGGAGAGTGGTATTGGTTGGATTCTTAATCCCAAGTCAGAGGTTCTTCGGAGGTCTTCTGCGATGCTATTTCCTTCTACAATGTCTCGGATCATGGGGTGAGGCATAGTTTGCTGAAGAAGTGATACTCGTCCAGCAATGTCTGGTCGACATTCTTTGGCCACCCAACTCAGGCCTCCAATGAGCTGTCGAAGCTGTCCGATTTCTTCTTCCGAGCATCGAGAGTATTTTTGAGCTCCACGTTCACGACTGAGAGGGATCTTCTTGATGTAGTTCTCGATGTAGTTCTTTTGGGTAACTCGAATGGACCCGTTGGCTTCAGGAGTTAGTTCCTTGCCAGTGAATTTCCCTTCTCCCGTGGTGAACTTGCCCATCTTGTAGTTCTGTTGAAGCCACTTCATGTTCTTTCAATGTTGTACTCCACCTCTATGGACCATGTCGTCAGTGGCGAGAGCGATGATGCCGACCGTGTTTCTGGTTTGGCGGCATCGGAGGTAGAAAAGACATGGGTCGGCTCGGCTCTTCTCATACCCCAACTCCTGGAGAACCCTGGTGATGTGTTGGTACCAGGCGTAAGGACCATCGGTGAGTCCATCGCAAGTTTTCTTCAAGCGTAGGAGTTGCCGTGGATGATATCCTGGAAGTCCTTCAGGAGGGAGTTCAGCATAAAGTTCCCGAGCTATCAGATCTCCAGCATGAAATGCTTGGGTGAAGTCCAGGTGTCCGAGTTCCCATCTCATACTGGATATCACTTGTAAGGTGAAGAAAACAGTTTCTTTTGCGACCTGAGGGGCCGTCGAGGCAAGGTCTTCGGCACCTTGTTCCGAGAAGCCTTTCATGACGTGTCTGGCCTTCGCCTTTTGTGGTCCGAGAGATGGATCATTGTCCTCAATGAGTAGGCCGTCTTGTTGGAGCTTCTCGACCTCCTCCACCTCGACTCCCTTCTCCGTGAGGACGTAGCGGGACTTCATGATCTTCTCCGCTTTGGTTCTCCTGATATGTTCAGATTCACCCCGATCGAGGACCTCGTAGGCACCTGAGCTCAGGTTGTTGATCACCTCCTTGAGGATGGCTTTGAGAAATTTCTCTTTCTTCTTGGCGGGGAGCTTGTTGAGTACAATCTCCTTGCCCTTTTGTGGTCGAAGCCGGACGAGTTCTTGATACAGTAGTTCCAGAGCTTCTGTCCTGATTCGTTTGACTGGTGGTTCAGGGTCCTCCACTCTCTCGCGGATCACTGGAGTAGACCGTGGTGACGTGGGTCTCTCCGGGGGCTTGTGGTTGTCCTCATCTTCAATCATCCTTCTCTCACGCTCTTCGTGGGGATCTTGGTCACCTGGTTCGGTAGGTGTGTAGTCATCCATCCTGGGCGACATAGACATAGGTTCCGGATGGTCGGGGTCTCCCTCCAAGGCTGTTTCCCTTTCTTCCGGTTTGAACTCGACCTCGGTCTCTGCCGTTTTTCCTTCAATTCGGTATCGAGGTTTCTTTGGTGGTGGTGGTTCCTCTCCGTCAGGTCGATCACGATCTTCTTCTTGTTCTGGGAAGGGTGCATTCTCGATGGCCGGGGGCTTCTCGTCGAGGATGATATAGTTTCTAATCTTGTGGTTCTGGATCTCCTTCTGGGTATTGATAATGTCAGTCAAGAAGTCCATGAACTGGAACTTTTCGTCATTGGTTATGGGACGAAGGTGTTCGGGAGCTGCTTTCACGAGAGTTCCTCTATAGCTGACCCATATTGTGTTCGGGAGGTCCGTGAGGATGACCTTGCCGGGCCCATGCCAAAAGGCTGGAGAGTCCTTTTTCTGTCGTTCCATTCCCTTTCTCCAGAAGTAGACCGTTTGACCCACCTCATAGTCGTAGAACCGTTTGGGGCCTGCATAGACCGAGTGTTTCAAGGCTTGTTCGCACTCGACTTGATGGAATGCAACAGCTTGGGTTCGAATGTCTGTGAATCGTTGAACTTGTGCATCACCTGCGTGATAACGGGACATCACTCCAATGCTACCTTCACCTCCTTGAAAGATGCCTCCTGGAAGTCTGGGACTGTAACCAAGCATCCGTTGAATGGGGCTGAAGCCGGATTTGTTGGACAGGCGGTTCATGGTAGCGTTGACCTCGTCCACGATGAGGTGCCACTCGTCCCAAGATGAGCAACCTGCTTCCATTAGCGTTTTTGAGAGGACTTCTTTAAAGCTTCTACCAGCTCGTTCCGTGATGGCTCTTTGAGTTGGCATCTCTAAAGATCCTGGGTCCAGGTAGATGTCATTCTGGTCCGCCATGAGCTCGAAGTGTCCTTTGAACTCTTTTCCAAGGTCACAATAGATGGCCTCTGGTGGTCCAAAAACTCTGAGCCACTGGTGAAATGCCCGAACTGCTCCTTGAGGTGTGTGGTCTTTTACAGGGATCATCAACTGAAATCGAGTAGCCCAGCAAACGCAGTTGAGGGCCATCTTGAGTTTGCCGCCAGGTTCAACTCCCGGTAGCCATACGGTGTCCACTCCCACCACCTGGTTTGGTTTCAACTGTCTAGGAGGAGCGGCCTGTCGTGCCCCATCGACTCTTTTGTGTCTGATGCAAGTCGGGCACACAAGATTCTTGGCGATGTTGACGGCTTCCGTGGAGGCCTTGGCGGTCTTCAGGATGTTTGCTAGTTTTTGGTTTCCTGGGTGTCCTAGTCCGCAGTGCGCTCTCCGAACAAGGCTTTCAATGCTACCTGGTCGTTCAAGAGTCAAGAGGTAGAGGTCGTTCAACATGAGGGTCTTCTTCCGGTAGTCCATCTTCTCCTAGATCACGAACTGGTAGTGGTTCATGATGATCAGCTTGAGGTCCCTCCTCCGACTCCATTTCTTCGCTCGCCATGATCTCCATGAGTCGGTCCACTTGGTAGCTCTCCTTGAAGAGGTCGTCGGTGTGTGGGAGACATAGAGCTCCTCGGTGTAGGAGATGGAGGCCTTATATGCCTTAAGGATGTGGTCTACCAGAGCTGTAGGGTACCTAGCCGCATAGGCTGATCTTTGGATTCCGTGTGAGGATCCAAGGATTGGTCGGTGAGGGTGGTCGCCTGGGCATTCTTTGTGAAGTGCACTGGCCAAGACCTTGTTGTTGCACAACCATCCAGTGGGCTTCTTATGGTAGTCACCCTCGATGGATTTGAGCTCAAACTGGCATTGGTCATTCTTGGTGAGGAAGATAGCCGGATCTTCAAGGAGG